GCGTTTCAGGATTGCCAGGGCGCAACAGTCACGTTGATTCGCGGTGTTGAAATCCCAGGAATGGTGTTGTGGCACGATTCAGGATCGACAAGACGCAACAGTCAGGTTGATTCGCGGCGTTGGAGTTCCGATAATAATGTTTTGGGACGCTTCAGGATCTTCAAACGGGTGTCTCCCAAGCGGGCACTGTCCTCAGTGGAAACGAACACTTGTAGGGCCTATAAAGAGGGAGCGTCTCTGGTTTACACTGGTCCCCCTCCTTCCCCTCCTCCTCGTGATCCTCTCCGTCCTTCTCTAGCATCATCCCCCTCATCCTCACCCTCGCCCTTCTGCGCATTCGCGCCCTTTCCTGCGCCTCCTCCTCCTCTCTTCCTCCTCCCCTCGCTCGCTCGCTCCCTCCGCCCCCCCCTCCCAGTCCTCCCCCCCTAGGCCCCCCCCTCCTCCACATTTCCTCCTGCCTCCTCCGGCCCCCTCCTCGCCTCCCCTTGCAGCCGTCACCTCTCTGCCCCGCCCCTCCGCGCCGCCGGCCTCGACACCCCTCTGACGCCCTGCCCCGCTTCGGCGCCCTGGCCCTCTCGGGCGCTGCCTTCCCGCTCCCCGCCCGCGTAATTTTGGCGCGGCCCCCGCCCTCCCGCCGCTGGGCGCCCAGCGCCTGCCCCGCTGCCCCGCCGCTCGCCGGCGCCTCTTCCCCCCCGCTGCCCCGACGCCCCCGGCGCCTCCGCCCGGCCACTGCCCCGTGAGGGTCCGGCCCTTTCACCCTTTTCCCCTTTCTTCTTACAGGCTTCTGGGCGCGCACGCGCGCCTTGCCGCGCGGGCGATTGACGGCGAGGAAGTGCCCCCGCCCGCGACGACCAAAAAGGTGTGTGTGTGTGTGTGTATGTGCATTACGTCCTCCGCTCCGCCGCTCGCCCGAACACAAGACCATGAATATCCACAGCGCGTCGCGGCACCACGTCCGGACTTACACAAGGGCGGGGTCCATGTCGGGCGCTGTTGTGAGGGAGCACTTTTTGGCAAGCACGACAAGGACTACAGTATATTGATGCCGGCCTTCCGCTCGCCAGTTGGACATCCACATGCTAATATCATTGTCATATTGTCGGGGCCTGATTGGAACAATTAACTATGGCGCGCCGCGCGCAAGTGCGCCGCGCAAGCGCGTGAACCACGAACAGGGTGAAGCTGCTACAAGGCGCCCTGAGATGCCAAGCGCCCGAGGCGTTATTCACGGCCTGAGTGGGCGAAAGCGATGTCAGTAGATGCCCAACGGGCGACGTAGGAGAAAAGCGGCTGACGTGATGGAGCGAATGGCACACCTTGCCTACAGCTGAAGCCTCCTCTTCCTGCCTCCGTCCTCCGCCTCCTCCTCCTCGTTCCACTCCTGCTCCTTATAAACAACTCCTCTCTGTCGCACCCCGAGACTGGTCGGAAGGGCGGACCGGGCGTTTCGCCTGAGACTCCGTATCATTGATGATCCTGAAATTGAAAAAATGGCAACGGCTTCGCAAAAGGAGGGCGGGCCGCTTCCAACGTGTGGCTCTAGCCTTAACGCCTCGCGCACTCGTCTTCAAACACCGGAGGAGTTTCACTGATTGATAGCGTGTGCTCTTCAAAAAGTGGCTCTTTCCTGAGCGCCGCGCACATTCGCTAAACAAAAATGAGAAAAAAAAACAATCTCACGGATTGAGGGCGGGACGTTGTCAAAATGTGGCTCTCGCCTTAGCGCCGCGCGCATTCGTTTTACAGAACTACAAGAGCTCCACTGGTTACCATGGTTCAGGTACCACAACCGGTGTCTTGGAACGATTCAGGACTGTCATGGCGCAGCAGTTACATTGAGTCGCGGTGTCGAAGTCCCAGGAATGGTGTTCTGGTACGATTCAGGGCCGTCAAGACGCGACAGCCAAGTTGATCCGTGGCGTTGAACTCTTGGGAATGGTGTTTCGCACGCATCCGGATCTTCAAACGGTCATCTCCCAACAAGGCACGTCCTTCAGTGGAAATGAATCCGTGTAGGGGCCCATGAAGAGGGAACTTGGAGGGAGGGCTAATCCCATCGTTAATCAATCTTGGGTGTACACTGGTCCTCCTCCTCCTCCTACTCCATTCCTTTTCCTTCAAAGTAACAACACCGAGACCTGTTTTTAGGGCGAGCCGGGCGTTTCGTTTCAGACTTCCTCACCACTTATGACTCTGAAGCTTAGAACATGGCAACAGCTTCGCAGATGGAGGGCGGGCCGATTTCAAATGTGGCTCTCGCCTTAGCGCCGCGCACATTCGTTATAGAAATTTGCAAGAACTTCACGGATTGAGGATCACCCGTTTTCAAAATGTGGCTCTCGCCTTAGCGCCGCGCACATTTGTTCTCAGTATTCGCAAGAGCTTCACGGATTGAGGGCGGCTCCTTTTCAAAAGGTGGTTCTCGCCTTAGCGCCGCGCACATCCGTATCTAACCATTGCAACAGTTTCACGGATTCCCGCGATCAATGTACGAGATATTTTGATTCGAAGGATTCAGGATTATGAGGGCGCAACACTTACGTATATTCGCGGCGGTGAAGTCCCAAGAATGCCGCTCTGGTGCGATTCAGGATCGTCGAGACATAGCAGTCAGGTTGATCCGGGGCGTTGGAATCTCGAAAACAATGTTTTGGCATGTTTCTGGGTCTTCGAACGGTTGCCTTCCAACGAGGCAGATCCCTTAATGGAAATGAACCGTTGTATGGGCCTGTGAAGAGGGAACTTGGAGGGAGGGTGTACTCCAACATCGTTGATGGCTCTTGGGTTTACACTGGTCTTCCTCCTCCTCCTCCTCCTCCTTTTCCTCCTCCTTCTCCTCCTCCGCCTTCTCTCCCTCTCCTTCCCCTTCCATGCGGAAGGCGTGCTGGAGACTTTTTGGAGGCTGGTCTGGGGCTTCGTGAAGGCCTCTTGGGGGTCTCTTGGGTTTTTTTCGGGGGGCGCTCCGTGCAATTATTGGGGCTTTTTGCCAGCGTCTTGAGGGGCCTCTGGGGCTTCTTACGGGCTTCCTGGGGGCATCTTGAGGGCCTTGGATAGCATCTTGGAAAGAAAAGCTTCCAAGGGTAAATCGAGTTACCCACCTTGGGCCACTCTTGGGGCCATCTTGGAGGCCTCCCTGGGCCATCTTGGGGCCCTCTTCAGCCATATTGGGGCGCTGTTGGAGGTTGATTGGGTCGTCCTGGAGCGACTCCGTGGGCCTCTTGGCCGGAAAGGCGACTGCACAAAAACACAATGACACTGATAATAACAAGTGGCACGTGTGCCATGGCTCTTGCACAAAAAGGAAGGGGGAGTAGGAGGATGTGGAGGAGGAGGGGGGGGGAGAGGATGCCAGACATCGCAGAAGGAGTAAGCAAAACAGGGCCGCAAGAGGGGCTCCAGAGGGCGAGCGCGAGGAGACTCCAAGGGCCGTCCCCCGCAAGATGGCTTCAAAGACCTTTGACGGGTTCCCAGGAAGCCTCCAACTGACGCCCGAGAAGCCTACAGAGGGTTCCAAGGGGAGGCCTCCAGGGTCCAAGGAGGGCTGGAAGAAATTACTGAGCGGACTCAGCTGCTGGGGGCTCGCGGTGCAAAGTGCGCGGCGGCCTTGTGTTGCGAACGCTTGTCCAAGGCAGTCGCTTTGCACGCAGAGTCTGTCGGGTGTATTCTCGGGGGCCGGCTATGCGCCACTTGAATGGGGGCTTCCCCCACAGACCAGACTTTCGGCCCGGGGCGGCGGCGGCGACGACGACGGCGACGACGGCGGCGGCGTCGGTGGCGACGGCGGCGACGGCATCGGCGGCGTCGCGGGAAGAGAGAGGGGGCGGGTAGGGAGGGCGAAAGGGGCAGGGCTGAGCGGGGGTGGTGAGAGGGCCGGCGACGGCGGCGACGGCGTCGGCGGCGGCGCGGGAGGTAAGAGGGCACGGGCAGGGAGGGCGAAAGGGGGAGGGCT